ATGGAAAGTAGGGGGAGTGGCATTGGTGGACGGGTAGCCCGAGTATCCAATTCAAAAATTTCGCAAGCCAACCGGGCGGAATCGGCAAGGACGATAGAACGCCTCACGGACTGTTCGTCCTGTTTCTCTATATTTTTTTCATTTCCTCTTCCGCTGGGCGGCGTCCACCGAAGCGCATCATCAACAAGGAGCACACCCATGCACCCACACATCCGCACATGTGAGTGGTCCAAAACGGATCCCTGGAGTGGGCACACACAGGGAAAAATATATTTAAAATTACGTATCGTAAAACTAAAAATAATAATAACAAAACAATATTTTAAGCTCCGAATAAAAAAAATTAATGTTACAAAAGTGAATGCAAAAACATGTGACCCTATTTTCAACAGAATTACTACCTTTTTACAAGAATTTTCATGATTAAATTTGAATAATCTTACTTTTACAACTTTACATAATTTTTTGGTTTTCTTAGCCATAAATGTATGATTTTAATATTTCAATGCTAGTTCTGCTCATAAAACTTTTCTCAGTTTCAATTTTTGCAAACCTTATGCTTTTGAAAAGAGAAAATATTTTTTTAATTTTGAGACTGACTGTATTTTTCGCAGTGCATGTCCTTACCACCCACTTACCACCCACTGAAGGTGGACCCGTCTCGATTCGTTGGCTTAGTAGCATATTGCGCTGACACAGGAGCTTCTCTATTTGCCTGCGCGGTCGCCTTGCCTCTTGACCAGTTATCCCTTCGAGGACCTCCCCCCAGAGGACCCGCCCCACCTCCCACCCACTCCTTCTTTCACTACCACCCATGTGACAGGCAGTCAATCAGAGGTACTGTAGATCCTGATTTACGCAGGTGGGCTGCCATGGGCATTGTTGTTCCTTGTGGCCAGGACATTTGATGTGGGACCCATATGTATCACGTATATGGTGGCGTGTGTACACTTTGTAACCACCTTTATTTACATAGGCACTGGGCCGTGGTGGATGGAAATCAGACTTTTTCTGCGTGCCAGCCATAATGTGTTTGCCTGGACAAATATTTTGCGCAGTCTGTGGCTTAAGTTGGTCAATGGAGTGGAGTTGAGCAACTTCGAATGCGATGAGCTGACAGGACACTTCTGCAAATGTGGATTTTTCAGGGGAGCTTGGGATGCGGCACATGGGAATTCATTGTGAGGCTGATAAGAAGTTTGGTTATCCTCAAAAAAAAGTAAAGAAATCTATACAATATAACTTTAGTTTAATTTTTAAAAAAATATTCAAATCAAAATACGCAAGACTTTTACTCTAAAATTAGTATTGCATTTTGAGGAATAATATGGTAAGCATTTTAATTTTAAAATGCTAATAAAAAATTATCCAAGAAATGAAACATTTAAAGGACATGTCAGATAATATTGGAAATAAAAGTAAATGGAATAGCGTTTTAAAAATATACTAAAATATTTATACTTGGTGTGGCTTTCAACTTGTTTAGATTCTTAAATTGAATATTAAAGCAATGATTTTGTATTTATTTGAATGGAAGTCGCCCTAATCGCGCTCCACGTATGGCCTTTAATTGCGTCGGGGCTTGTCCAATCGATTTGCCATTGTTCCACGCAGGTGGGCAAAGTTGTCCGGGATTCTCCAGTATTGGGATCCCATTGGGATGGTGGAACAATAACAACAAAGGCTCCGAGGGAAATCGCCAGCTTGCATTTGTCGCCTCGCACGGGCAGAAATAAAAGGAAGTTCAGGGTGGGCAGTGAAAAAGGAGCTTGGAGCTGGGAAAAAAGGAGCAGGACTTGTCGGTCTGCCAAGGCGCTTGTCGCAGGACTCGCGGTGCCGTCGTTTCCGAATGATATGATGCGTGCCTCATGTGTATCAGTATATACACATATGTATATGTATATATACATATCTATATAAATACATACACCATATGCATATATTCATGTGTGATGTTCAGGTTGTTTTTTGGAGCGTGTGGCCCGTGTTGTTGTTTTGACAACTGGCGAGACAAAAGGACCAGGACACCAAGGACCATGGCCAAGGGACCAGGGACCAGGGTCCTGGGACATTGGAGCGTGGAGCGTGGAGCGTGGCAAGTGGTTAGCGGGGAGCTGGGAATATTTAACAGGAAGAAACCAATAAAACCTAATGATATGAAAAAATGCAATTTTCTGAAACTCGAACGAACGCTCACAAACACACGCACAGCAAAAGGGGAGCGGAAGCACACATACAACGAAAAAAATCGGGGCAGTGTGTGTCCTTAAGTCCCGTTTACACTACCATTAACACTCTGAAAAAGGATATGTATTTGCTTATTTATTATAAAAAAAATTTCTTTATAAAATAAGAGCTGAAACTCAAATGGTTTGTTGGAGTTTAATCAATATTATTAATAGAAAATATGTTCTTATAATATAACATCAGTGTTTAGAAACCAGTCTCATTTATACTTATAACATAAGTATAGAGTATATAATTAAAGATAAAACCAAATTTTTAAAAGTAATTTGTACAGCGCCTTAACAAATAATGTACTATATATAAAATAAATGTAGAAATTGCCATAGTCCATTAATAGAAATAAAACAAAATTTGTTAAAGTATTTTGTTCAGTGTCTTAGTAAATAATGTAAATAACTGGAACTGAAATACCCAAATTGTATAATCTAATAATATAATCTAATATTAATAGTTTTGTAATATTTTCAACAATTTTGGAAACCTTTATATTGATAAATGTTAAATTTATGTTTTTTCATTTTAAAAAACATACTAGTTTATAGTATAGTATTCGAATACAGTTTTCCTGTATAAACAGGGCTTAACTTTGATTTTCCGCTTCAGAAATCACAAACATCCAGAGCAGCGGCGTGTGTCTCTGGCCAAGTCGTCCTTCGTCCTTCGTCTTTTTCTTCGCCGCCTTGCCACCTCCTTTAGCGCATCCTCAACCCCCCGCCCCCTCCCCCTCCTCCTTTTTGGAGCTGCTCCTTCGATTGTCCCCCGTTGTCATATGTGAAGTTCTTCTCGCGCTTGTGGATTTTATATATTCCCGAGGAAAAGCAAAAAATTGAAACGCGAACTTGGCTTCAAAAGGAATTTTTTAAGGGAGAAGCGGGGGCTTGGTGTTTCTTCAAATGATAGACAACGAGAAAACATAAACATGGCACCCAACACTTGTCCACTGGCCTGGCAAATGGATTGGGAAACCCAACACCCCCATACCCCCGCACCCATCGCCCAGGATCGCACATAAATGACAATGTATTACCGCTAAACGAAGGCGGGCAGCGGCCAGAAGATAGCAGACATGTAAGCAATTTTCCAAAGTACTTAGTCAGCAAATTTTACCCCTTTTTCTCGCTGGCTGGAAGAAGTGAAATGGGACATGGGAAATGGGTGATGGGAACTGTGTACTGGGTACTGGGAACCCCCTGCCCTTTGACCTCTCCGGGGTGACCACACACATCTAAGGAAAAAAAATCCAGAGAGAGAGAGCGAGAGAAAAAGACGCCCACGCATGGCTCGCTGGAGATACCAGGGGTTATGTTATGTCCTGTCACTGGCTACAAGGATAGCGATAAGCCAGCCACACCCCCAATGTCCTCAACCCACCTCCCTCCCCCGCCCTCCAGTCCACCACCCAGCCATCCGGCAGAAAAACATTTTTTCGCCAGCGGTTCGCATTTATTTATTTCCATTTTTTTAACACATATTAAGCCGCAAAAATATTGCCTGTCCTTTCCACTTTCATTTTTTTTTTTTGGGTGGTGGTCCAGAATTTGCAAAAGACGCAAAAAGTTCTGGAAAGAGAGGGGGCCAAGCAACTACACCGGGGAAAAAATTTGCAGATTTTTTGTATATTTTAATTCCATAACTAAAAAATGCAGATTTTTTGTATATTTTAATTCCATAACTAAAGTTTTGGAAATACAAAAAAATAACAAAAGTCAATATATAATCAAAAATATATTTGAGCCTTTTAATGTATGTACTATTTTATGTGTATTACGATTTATTTATTTATAAGTTCATTTAATTAAAGTATTGATTTAAAATAATGAGGTAGATTACCAGCAGTCCAGTAACTTTACCTTTACTTTTAAAATATTCCAAATAATTCCTGATATTGAATACAAAAATATGTTTATGTTTTAAAAAAAATGATACTTAATCATATCCAGATTAAGGTATTTTCTTACCGTGTAAAAAGAAATGGGGAACTGGGAAAACTCGAGCTGGTCGTCTAATTCAGTCGATAGCCATTCATTGGAAACTCTTGATTGATGCTTTGGCCTTGTCTGCTGTTCGTTGATAAGCGGCAAAGACTATGCGACTCTTAACCCCACACAGCCCCTGTCCACCGAACACCAAACACCAGCCACCACCCACCGAACCCCCCACCCCCCCTTCCCAAAGAAATGTAACCAGGCTGATTTTTACAATTGCTTGCGATTCAATTTTTCACTTTACATATTTCATAGATTAGACGACTTCAACGGTGGTCTTTCGCCAGGGGATGTAGCTGATGATGTTGCGTTGGATATTGAAACTAACATAAATGGAAATTCATTTTTAAATATTTGAATAATTATTAATTTCTAAATTAACTTGTTTACTTCACAAAACTTTACACCCATTAAACGGGAAGAGCTTTGAAATTTTTAATAGCCAAATATCCATAATATAAAAACAAAGCTTGCACTTTTTGATAGGGAATGTCTTTAGTTTAATGTTGCGGAATTAAATTTTAAGCAATGTGCAATTTTCCATATTAGTTTAGGGTTTTTGATTTTGTTGTGATTATAAAACCATATTACCTACTAATGTTTTGAAGACATTTTTTTTAAATTGATACTTTAAAGCACTATGTCATATCTCATTTATCCTACGTACATTTAGTTTATTAAGGTCCTAAGCAAATCTTAAAGCCTTTGATTTCAATGAAATTAATGATATATTAGATTCCTAAACAAAAACAAGCAAACAGTTATTAATTCACTGAATTTATTTACATTTTTCAACTAATTTTTCAAGACTAACTGGAAGTCTTAAGCTTCAAGAGTCAATGTTTATCAGTCTATGAGCCCCGCCTGGTAAGTCACTTCATTTAAATTGCACCATGCCCGACTATTTATGCACTGCCCAAATGGAAATCGGGGGATTGTAGTCCATTCAAAGACTAAATTAAAAGTGGGCTTCTGTTTGCTGGATTTAAACCATTTCTAGGGTAATTGCTGATGCTGATACTGCTGGTTTTTGCGATCTCGGGCGTCCTCGAGTTTCTTGAGATATTGAGCGGCGAGGGTCAAAATGGAGGGGTCCCGGCCATCCAGAAAGTCCTCACCATCCTCATCATCACCGAGGTCATTGCGATCCATGCTGAGTGGTGTGGGTGTTGGTGGTGCCAAAGTTGGATTGTTCAAGGGAGTACGGACAGTACTGCGCACGTGGGCATCCCGATGGATGGGCATCACGGTGATTTTCTGGGCCTTGGTCCGGGCTCTCTTGGGTAACTGATCCTCTGACCTGGAGTGCAACTGCTCCTCCTGCGATGAAGGGCCCTTTTTGGGCAGACGATGACGTTTTGGGCTTCGTTTCTTCAGGAAACTGGTCGATTCGACCGCTAGGGCTGCCACTTTAAAGGATTTGTCAACCTTCTGCTTGGAATCCCTTTTCCAGATCGAGACTAGCTTACCTCTATTTTGGTGATCCAATATCTTGGCTATTCTATCCTCAACCAGCTGATTGATAGTGGCGTTCAGTTGCTCAAACCTCTGATCCACAACTTCAATGACCGTCGTCCTTATGGCCGCATATATCTCATCCATGTTCTTCGATCTAGAGTTTTCCGATTGAGATCTGGGCCTTAGTTTGTCCAAAACATCCTCGGTGATCAGCGCAAAACGCAGCTTTGTTGCCTTCGACATAATTAATATTTACTTTAATGTTTACCAAAAAATTTATTGAAACGACAATTTTGCTTTGTTTTTTTTTTTGTTTTTACAAATTTTTTTTTTTTTTTTAATATTGTTACTGAACCTCTACGTTGCTTTTTGAGCTATGATTTTAAGCACCGAACAAACCACACTGACTGACCGTGTAAATTTCAAGGACTACTGTTTGATATATATATTTTCTCGATTTTTTGTGTTTTTGGTATCCAGCTCCGATTTGATTTTGGAGTAGACTTTGAGTGGTTTATTGTTTGGCTTCTTTTATATTTATTTTTTTTACCATGTTGACATGTGACAGGTCGTACTCATTGTTCGAGGAGAAAAACAAAGGACCAGTGATTTCAATTAGGAGAGTTGAATAAGTCAGAGTTTCTCTGACCGTGTGACATTTCCACTTCCACTTCCACTTCCACTTCTTCCGGCGAGTCCTTGCGCTGACATTTCTCCCCCTTTTGGCACTTCCTTTTGTGGGCACTTCAGGATGCGGATCTTAACCCACGGATGCCAGATGTCAGGCCACGGGACCGAATGAAAAATGATAATTTCCTGTACCTGGCCGGGATTAACGCGATTTACCCGAAAGGGTTACGCGATCCGAAGATGTCCCAATAACGTGTCCTGTGTGCCAGGTAAAAAGCAAACTCCTTTGCCTACCTAATTCGCGGTAGGGGAGGGTTGGCCCAACCCCTTATTTTTTGGTGGGGGGAGGGGGGGTAGGGGGTAGGGTTGTAGGGAAGTGCCTACAAATTGCGCCAAGAGCGCATTTAACCCTCGGATACTCGAAAATGAACGGGATAGGCAAATCTGCGAGTCATCCAGCCACATGCACATTCACATTAACATTCACATTCACAATTCGATCGACAACCGCTCAGATCGGACGTATGCGCTATCGCTCGACACTCAACACACAACACTCGGCAATTATCGCTAGACACTCGTCGCTATCGGTGCTCCTCGATCGGATTTGCGCTTTTCGAAGTCCTCGAAGGCCTCGATCGGACAACCCGATCAAGTCAAGTGGTCCGCCGGAGTGCCATCAATTAGCCAATTCGCATTGTTCCCCGATCCCCGATTCCGATTCCAATCCTTGATACCGGCGCGATCCCCTCGCCAAAGATGGCAGATAAGGCCAATGTGAGGTCTCAAGAGCTTGAGCGGCTTACCGGTTTCAATTGTGATTTGTTGCTCATCATAACCAAAAGTAGCTGTCCCAACTCATGTGATTTTTTAATTAAAAAAAAAAAAACAATCAAATCTATCTTTCAATTTCACATTTCAATGAACTATTGAATCCATATACCCACAAGAAAAAATTAAAACGTAATTTTAACAAGTGTATCTGGAAAATAAACTACAGACAATATTAAAGTTAAAGTATTAATTTAAAACTAAATAATGGAACCCATATACTTTTTAGTTTCATTTCTATACCGAACCACATTAGTTTTATATTAATACTTTTGTGGTATTAATTAAATACTCATATTATTGAGAAATTTGTCATATCCAATAGTTAACAATTCATGGAATAAAAGTTTAGTTTCTATAAAAATTATTTTCGTTATATTTAAAAGAATATCTGAAGAGACTTCATTCAATAGATATAATAATTCATCAAATCATGCAACTTTAATTTGAAGCCACTTTATATTTGGTAACATTTCAAAGAGCCTAACTAAGAAATACGTTAAAAATGGATTATGTTCAAAAAACTTGGTCATCATTTTTGACTTTAATGTTGTCGAATAGTTAAATATAGAGCGATTTCCTTGAAGCTAATGGGCAAGGACCAAGACGGATTCGCAGCTTTAAGTTCTTCTGGTAATGGGCAATTTATAGACTTCCAATGGCAAAAATGTAGCCATTTAGCTGAAAGGGGTGAAGTGAATGGGTACATGGAACAGCCCCCAATCTTAATTTCAGGAACTTGGAGACCCCCGATTGCCTTCGCTCCCCCTATTCCAGAGTGTTTTTCCATATCGTATCGTGTTTGATATCGCAGCACGGCATTTATAAATGTAATTGTATAAATTCGCAGTGGTAGTGATGGTGGTGCTGGTGGTGGTGGGATAGTGGGATGGTGGGCTGGTGGGTGTGGGCCTGTCCCTTTCCAAGGACACCGGCATCATAGGGTTGAATGGCAAATGGCCGCTTCAGGTCCGTTCGATGTCCGGGGTCCAGAGTTGTCGAGCTTTTTTGGTCGCAGGCTAGCCATTAGGGGTGGACTTTTCGATTTCATTCGAAAACTTAACGAAACGAAACGCAACGCAGGACATTCAGGACCTGTCCAGGATATGGCTGGACAAGCGGCGAGAGCGAGACGGCAGTTAGAGGTGAAGTGAAATATGTGCGTTTTCAATCCAAGTCCAAGTCCACATCCACGAACAACAACAAAACTGGCAGCCACTTCAGCTCCGTGGGCCGTCCATCACCAACACCAACGGGCTGGTCGTCCTTTGTCCTTCGAGGGGGTGGTGGTGGGTCAAAAATGGGGAGAGAGAGAGAGAGAGTCCAGTTTGAGCAGAGAAAAAATGGGCATTGATCAAATAATTTTAGCAATAAACTCGGATTACATTGTTTAAATTAAAATAATAGAAAAAGATAATTACTGAATTTGCCAAACTTTGATTTTATTTTATTGTCTATTGATATTTAATAGTGATTAAGGCAATATGTTTGAATGTAATTATAATTCAGGTTTTATTATTTTTTATTACAAAATGTTCTAGCTTAACATGTAACCAACTTTGATGTGCTTCTTTTATTTATATTTTGTTTTTCACTCACAAAAATAAATTAGTCAGGTTTTTTAAACACACGTAATTGTACACTAGAAAAATATAATTTACAGTTATATGTAAAGAATTATGCAAGAAAAATATAATTAACAGTTATATGTAAAGAATTATACAAGAAATTTTGGCAAGAAAAAATTAGATATAATAATTTATATCCATCTTAGATCGAGGTAAAGTTAGTATTTGCTATAAAAGAAAAAGTACAAGCATATTTATTTTTATTAATAAAGTTTTCTGTTTGATTTCTCTGAGAAAGGCGTTATTTTTTTTTTTAAATTCCAAGAAAATCCAACTGTCTTGTTTTAAATGTGTGTAAAAAAAATAGACTTAATTATTTATTTAAAAAAAAACAAAAAGTCAAACTTATTTTATTTAAAATACAACTTCAAGTTTTCGTGCTGTGTGTCTTTGGTTTCGCGTTTTGGCGCTCCAACAAAGGGGTCAATAAGGGGACTTTAACGACTGTGACTGCCCCACTAGCTTTTCCAAACCCCCTCCCCCACTTCCGCCACCCCTTTTCCACCCCCTCCATCCCCGCTCCTGCTGTTTAGCCCTTTTTGTGGACTGCGTTCGCATTCAACCCCCTCAGCAGATTGACTTTTATGTTGATAACTCTGATGTCGTTTCGTTTCGAGGCAGCAGGCCTCTCGACCACCCCCCACCCCAACGCCCTCTTCTGGCCCTTACCCTCCCCCCTCCCCCCTTCCCCTTTCCCGCACCACCCCCTTCGTTTGCCACCACCCCACCCCTTGTTTTGTTTGTATGTGTTGTACAAGTTGTCCACTACAGAAGAGAACTCGCCGTTGGCTCTCCACTCACCCCTCAAGTGGCCATTTTGAATTTTGGCCATTTCCCTTAGCGTTCGCTTTTGGACATTTGCCGTCTCCTTCCATTTCCCCCCCTTTGGCACTCCCACGCCTCCCGAAAATCCCCTACTTATCCACATCTTACCCCGCCACAGGAACCTCCTTTTCCTTGTTGCCAGTTCATTGATTGAGGTAACTTTGGGGGGCGACTTTAAGCCCTCTCACTCAACTGACCATCTTCAAGTGTATACTAACCGGGCAAAAATACAATAATTATTATCTTTCTTTGCTAAATTATAGAAATATTTCAAATGAAAAATTATAAAGGCTTTTTATGAAGTTTTTGAATAATGTTTTTAAATTACATTCGGACTATCTTATTACTATCTCATTCGAAGTGTTTAAAATCGTTCAAATTTTTAATTTGGCTGGACATCAATATATTTCTAAATAAAACGATAATATAATGGAAAAATGTTTCAATATTATATATATTAAATTGATTTTGATAAAATGTATTCTTAATAAAACAAGGTATTTGCCCAGGTAATTCTAATTTAATATTGTATAGAATATTTAAAAATGTTGCACATTTTTAAGAACACAAGTTCTTTCGGTAATTTAATTTAATTTTTTATAATATGTATATCCTAAATGTATCCCATTAAGTATTCTACCTATTTTTAAAAGTAAACAAGATTTCTCCTGGCGAGACAACAATATATAAAAATATATAATAAGCAATTAGAAGAATTATGTATATGGAATATTTAATGTTCAGTTCTTTGAAATTGTAAAATCTATAAATTGTAAGTATTAAACAGATGTTTGTCTATGTCTGAACTATGGAACAACTTGTGGACAATGCTTTAGCCGTCCATAATAATAGTCACTTTCCGACCCCATGCAACCGTATTATTCTCCGCCATTTAGGTCGCTTGTCAGGTGTGGGTGGCAAATCCGTAAATTAGTTGCCTCCCCCAATAATACGGGTCTAAGCTGGCTCGCTTCACCTCACATACGTCTCTATTCGGTCCGGTTTTTTGGTCCGTACTCTAGAGTCCGGACTGCGGACTGCGGACTGCGGACTGCGGACTACGGACCACGGAGTGCGGACTTCGGTTTTATCCCTTCGACTTGACGATGTTTTTATGATGCCCAAGACAGGAGCTCGTGCTAGTTGTTCGCCTGGCCGTATTAAGACAAAAGGTTAAATTTAAATTTGAAATGATGAAGGGGTTGCTTCTCGAAGGGGTTTCCAAAGGGTGGAGGGGGGGGGGTGGTTACTAGGTGGGCGGAGGGGTTTATCCACAGGTTCGAGCATCACGTCCACATTCGTTGGCTGCGTGCTCCAAGCGCCCTGGCCATACATTGCAATATGGCTGCCCCTTCGGCTTACCAGAGCCCCTTTTTCCTTGTTTTCCACGCCACCCGCCGTCACCCATGACCCCTGACCCCTCAACCCTCGACCCCAAAGCCCCCTCTCTCCCACTCTCCCACTCTCTCTCTCTCTCTTTCTGGTCGGAATACGAAGATGCTGCGGAGCATATTGTTGCCTCGGAATTGGATTGTTGGGTTAGGTGTAAGGTGTGGCAGA